ACACCCACTAACTTTCCTTTTAACGAAAGAATATGGAACAAACCATATAAGTTTGATAGACAAAAATCGTGCAGTCTTTGTAGAAATGAATGGAGCTGAATTTGCCTTATTTCTTTTGAACGATAGTCGATGGAAGCACCACCATTACGAACGAAAAATGGGGCGAACGAGATTTTGGCTGGCTCCTATTTCTATAGTTTGATGGTTATTTGAAACAGGATTTATGGTAAAGGCAAATATAGAGTGATGCTTTGTACTGAGTACAGAAGGTAGCTAACGCAATTTTACAATGTAGTTAATCATATTTGAAAATGGTTACTTCAATTGGGTCAAAGTTTCTGTTTCTTCTACGGTTTTTGTACAAGTTTGTGACATCGCTACAATAGAGTTTTGCGCTTGGATACGTTTACAGTTTTTGATACTTCATGGTGCTGCAGATTAAGTTACAGCTCGCAAAGCGAAACTTCGCAAAATTTAGCGCCAAAGTAGATGAGCGACTCCTACACATACAGTCGAGTGAATTTCGTTTGACATGATGTGCCTGCGGTGCTGAGAAACTGCGGCAAATTTGCGCATGAGCAGATAACACTACACCTGCATGCCAATCATTTGCGCAAGCAAAAACCCGGCAATACTGGCGTGGTAAGTTAGTCTTTTGTACTCACTAATTGAAGTGCGAGTGTACCAGTGTTAGTGCACGAGTGCTTAGCCTTTATAAATGACTTCATACCGTTTTTATCAATGTGTGGGCTATGATAGGGTAGTGCGATAAATTTACTACAACTAGCTGGCATACCCGGCTCCACCCGGCCCTGTCAAAACACTTTATTAAGGTTAGTATCCTATCCCTCCACGAACCTTTTCCTGTGCCCACTTCTATCGCTATTGCCGTTTTGTTTTCATAATCAGCTTGTGCGCAGTGTACTTGCTTTAAGGCGTGCCTCACGCTGTTCAGACGTCTCTCCTACTCTAGTCTCTCGCATTCTTTTAGCATTGGGATCAACCCGTCCAATGCTTGCTCATTTTTTTGGTGGTATTGTGATAGCTGTCAAAAGTTAGGATGTCCTTTTCTGCCCATTTCTCTCATCAGGATTGCTCGGCTATCACGAATGTACAGTAAGCATTGCGAAGTGGAAGCAACCGGTAGCACAATACTGAAAATCGTTTCTAACGCGCTTCTCGCTATCCGATGGGTTAACAATTCCGCAATGCTCTGCCACTATTTCATGGAAATCCGACAATACCCTTCCTGTTCGCCATCAATCCAGTAATGCTAAAAGTGAGTTAACGCAGTTTTTTAACCAATATAGTCTCTATTACTACAGTCCTAAGCATTATCTTGGAATTTCTGTGTTGGCATGCTCAAAAAAGGGCTTGAACTTTGTACTTTCATGATTAGTAAATCATCAAAGAGATTTGCAAAATAAAGTCCTTTTTGACATCAAAAAGAGATTCGACATTTACAAAAAACGGCGTTCATGAGCTTGCGGAAAGACAGAAGACTACGAAGGACGAAGGCGTGGAAGTGATTGAGAGGGGGCAAACTAAACGCGCGCGTATCTTCACCCTTGTAAATCCTACGCTTCATCAATCCGCTTCAACCCTCCGTCATGCAACAGCCTATCGTCGAGTCATTCGTAACTTAATATGCAGAGTGCACACTATGCACGCTAACTGACGAACTGCAAAACTAGAACATGTTCATTTCCAGTAATTTTCCCTTGCTTCCTTGTCTCTTTTGTTTTTGTTAGTACTATATATACTAGGTTATATTATAGTCAACAGAACATATTCCTACACTTTGTTAAGCAACAAAATGTTTCACTGAGAGGTCACTAATAGGGGTGCCGTCGCTTATAGAGCTTAGTGCAGTCTCACATACTAAGTTACAAATGACTTGGGGTTACACACCTTAAATGCATGCATTATTTAGTGCATATACAAAAACCCACTCAAAGTTCGCTTCTTGTCACTGTCACTGCTCTTTGTTTGCAGAACTTACGAGGGAAGCTACCTAACTTGGCTCGCGCTTTCGGAATAAGACACATATATTTGGAATCAGCCTGGAACGCTAATGCCAACTATGCCTTTCGCAGGTGCCGCGCATCTTTCGGAAGTTACGAGGACCTCCTTCCATATGACTCCTCCACCGGCATGTCTAGGGGGAACTCGACAATGACCAATAGAGGTCTTGTGGTAAAGTGGTAAGTAGCTTTGTACGCTGAGGGTCCGGGGTTCGAGTCCTACTGGACGCTTTCCGTTTTGCAAAGGTAGTCCACAAACCCAAACATGATCCACAAGTGGTCACTCATGCCTACGTGCATCTGTGGTAAGTGGGGTTATCAAAAATCGAAGATGTTCTGCCCCGAGCTGGTCGTTACTTATCTGTCAAAGACCTTTCGCTCTTGCGACATTACAAGAGAGCCGTCGAGGAAGGAGCAGAAAATGATTAGTAGCTTCACGTACATCCTACGTGAAGCTACCACGGAAGTATGGACGTAGAATTATAAGAGGATGATCTAATGGAGGAGGATGAAGAAGATGGGGCAAAAAACGGGGCAGCATGTGAGAAATCCATGTAAATTTTTCATGGTGAACTGGTACGCCCCAGTATGACGATGTATTCACTTTTAGGCAGACTAATAAACATGCTTGCAAAAGGAAGGACGTCCAACAGGACTCGAACCCCGGACCCTCATCGTACAAAACGATGACACTTACCACTTTACCACACGACTCTCTATTGGTCATTGTCGAGTTTCCCCCAGACTTGCCGGTAGAGGAGTTATACGGAAGGAGGTCCTTGTAACTCCGTTCCGAATTGCGCGGCACCTGGAAACAGCATATTTGGCATCAGCGTTCCAGGCTGATTTCAAATATATGTGTCTTATTCCGAAAGCGCGAGCTAATTTAGGTAGCTTCCCTCGTTAGAATAAGAAGTACCGCTAATCTACAACCTAACTCAAGATGATCTGATAAGCTTCATTTCCCTCGATGTAAGTAAACAAATCAATAAATTGATAGAAGGGCCCATAATTCGCGACGAAAAGTAGCCTATGACTTGCGCCGTGGCTTATTTACAGGGGAGGGAATTCTCGTAGATCTACATAGAAAAATTCGTATTCCGAACAAAGATTCACACGAACATACACACTTTGACTTTTATATATGTATGTATAGAAATGCCATTAAAGTTGGCTCATTGGCATTACTTTCATCAAGGATACGGCCGCAGCATAACACTATTGCACCGGGTGGAGCAAAAGTGTGGTCTTTTTTAACCTGCAATTTTGCTTGTAAAACTCTAGAGGGGATCAAAAAGCTAGCCGAGGATGAAGCACTCGGTGGGGCAGACATGAGATCTAGGCCAGTAATATTATATGCTTCGCTGAAACCTTGCGCTGGCAATACAACACTGACACTAGCGTATTGTTCAATCCACGCAAATTTCACAGCCTTTCTCGAGCACATTATATTAAGCGGAAACTTGGAAAAGTTGCTCCGCACTAAGATTTTCTTCAAACTTTCATTCTCTCTTTACTTTACTAGTCACCAATTTCGAATAAAGAAGCAGCTGCACATAAAAACATCTTTTTGAGCTATGAATCACTTTGAGATCAGTTTATATCATCAGCTCTTACAAGGGAAGGATACTTGGATGCCGCGGCCTTTCCTAATGATTTGTATACCAAAAAATGCGCCTTCGAATGCAGATTCTGAATCTGTGATTTGAAATCTGTGATTTCGTTTCGCAAAAAAATTTGCGAAACGATCTTTTCAAGAAAGCTATGAACTTTTTTCCTTGAAAATTTAGCCTACTTTCGGATAGTAAAAATCACCAGATTTGATCTAGCCTACCGTTTGGTGCTAGTGAAGAAAATTTTAGACGTAGTAATATTTATTTAGACTATCTGGATCATACTCAGCATTTGGAAAGGAGAGAAAATTTTTTTATTGATGATTTTGACCCTCCGCAGGAACGCAATTTTTTTAATGAAAAAAAAAATCATAACTCCATTCAGATTATCGTTTCGCAGATATGAAAGACAGTCTATGAACCAGCATTCAAAAGCGCATTTTTTGGTATACAAATCATTATGAATGGCTACGGCATTCAAGTATCCTTCCCCTGTTAGATTATGGAGGTGGCGTCATGCCAACCAAAGCGTAGCGGTATTTGATAGCGAGAGAGTATGATAAGCAATGCTATAGCGTGGAGCTTAACAACCTTATCCTTATGATCAGGGAAATCTTGCAACCAGCCTCCACACGAACCTGAGAGCCGACCATAAGAGAGTATCAAAGCACCATTTAACGCTAGCAGAATGAGGCGCAATGAGGCATACTTGGCAAAAATTTTCTATAAAAAATTGCACTCGCTCAAAGGCGAAGGTGCGAAAACCAACCTTCACTATGACTAAATGTTTCCAATCTACGTACTCAGGTGATAATCAATCCACCATTGGTAACCCATCATTTTTGGCAAAAACTTTGGAGAGATTTGAAGGAGTTTTGGCCCGGTTGAAGTGTTCCATGATAGCTCAGCGTTTCAGTAAAATGTACTGTATGTGAAGGTCTTTCTTTTTATCACTTTCACGCGGGTTGGCTTATTACCTGCAAAAATCGGCAAACTTGTTATTGCATATACTGAATCATGCCGAATGAATGGATTGTTGCTTGGAAACAGACGATTAAAGAGTTCAAAATCGTTTCACCAACCAACAGCGGGGAGGGAGGCTAGATCTTGAATTATGAGCACTAAATCTTTTAGCTGACATCAGTTTGTCTTGGACCATCTATAAATATATTCTCCTCATTTTGCAAATGCATCTTTGATTTCAGCTCAATGAACAACTAATACAGCAAAAGCGGTATTTAAAAGCGTCTCATATCGCATCTTCCGTTCTTCTGTAACAGTTCTTTGTTGAAGCAACTTGACCTTCAAATTTTTATTAGCAATAATTATGAAACGGTATTTATTAAGCGCAAGTGTACATATCTTACAATTTGACATGACTTAAATTCTGTGATCTAATTGGGCATTTGCAATAATAACCATCGCCACCTGGCGCTCCTGGATCTCCAGCTACTCCAGGACTTCCATCAATGCCTGGAGCACCCTTTTTACCCATTTTTCCTGGTATTCCAGGTTTTCCTGGTCGACCAGGAGCACCATGCTCTCCGTGAGCTCCAACTTTTCCTGGCTCTCCAACCTCTCCTTCAGGACCTGGTGGCCCATGAATGCGGCTTCCCTGAACTGCATTTCGTCCGGGGATTCCAGGCCATCCTTGTTCTCCGGCTCTGCCTACTTCACCAGGTTCTCCTTCAGGCCCCGGCAATCCAGGAGTTCCACTGAGTCCGGGCTCTCCTCTTGAACCTGGCCATCCATCAGGTCCCGGACTTCCCATCGCACCATCTTCTCCAGGAAGTCCAGGAGGCCCTTCTGGGCACTGAGTACAGGGGTTGGAGATATGCTTCACTGCACCTAAACCATGTAGCCCGGCTGCTCCTGGACTACCATGCTGACCTGGCGGTCCAGGTAATCCAGGTTTACCTGACGGTCCCGGTGGCCCACGCGGGCATATCGTTTCTATAATGTACTGGACATGTCCGAGGCGACGTTTTACTCGTAGATCTTTGTGCTCTTCTGATCCAATATCATCGATAATGGTTGCCCAAGCCGCATTTGCGATATCCTGAAAACAATATTGTAGGCAAGCAATCTAGTTCCCATTGTCGCTTCAAATTAGACTAATTACATGAGTACAGGGGCCGAAAGGTTGAGGACTCTTGCGACTAAAGGACCCTCAACACTATTGCGCCTTACCCAAGAAAATTATTTGGAGGAGCTCACTGATGCACTCAAGCTGCTGGCATTTTTGAGACGAAAAATACAGGGTGTCCCAAAAAAATGTATCGAACGTTTGATCGTTAATATCTCACTTCCCAAGAAGTCTTTTGCCTTGCTTTAGGTACCAATCTGTAGAGCTGGCTTCAACTTAGATTTGCATTATAGAACGAATCACCCATCTCTCTTCGTTACTGTAGGATTACGGTACAAACTTGAAACATATGGTGTCAATGTGGAAAAAACTGCCGTTTCAAAATTTTTCAAAAAAAATGTGAAAACTTGTGTATTGGGGTTTTTATGGACGCTGAGTTCAATACTCAACTATTCACAAGATTACGAAGCTTTCTAAACGGTGTAACCGCATTTTTTAGGAACATTGGAAAAAAGGCCGCTACCTCTTACCTGGCATAACTCTTCAATGAAGCATCATAATAAATTGGGAACTTTACAGTTATAATCGGCAACTCTAATTAGCCTAGTGTAAGAGTTTTCAGACTGTTGCGTTCCCTTTCTGGGGCAGCATATGGCCTTTCATTGCTTAAAACCCTCTTTGAAGTTTCTACCGTAATTCTACAGTAATGAAGAGAGATGAGTGATTCGTTCTATAATGCAAATCTAAGTTGAAGCCAGCTCTACAGATTGGTACCTGAAGCAAGGGAAACGACTTCTTCAGAAGAGAGATATTAACGACCTAACGTTCGATACATTTTTTTGGGACACCCTGTATAATACATTCGTGTGAAATGCACAGAATATGCGAAATTGAAAATAATGGTATTGGAATTGTAACATTATGCATTGACTAAGGAACATAAGATGCAATTCTCAATCTTATATATAAAGCTGAATGTCTGTTTGTATGTATGTCTGTATGTCTGTCTGTCTGTCTGTCTGTCTGTCTGTCTGTCTGTATGTGTGTACATATGTTCCGAATAGAAAATTCCATTTCTGAACCGATCCGGACCAAACTTGGCACACATACACTTCGGGCCCCGGCGGGTGTCATAGGCTACTTTTCGTCATCCGATATCGATTTTATCGATTTTTATCGATTTTTTTGCTGAGTGCACCTACGGGGCTGGGAGTTGGCATAGGGGGGTAATCGAGCATGGGGATTCCGAATACAATATTGGTTTTCAGGATTATCGATTACTTTTATCGATTTTATCGATTTTTTTGCAAAGTTTGAGCTACGGGGCTGGGAGTTGGCACAGGGGGGTAATCGAGCATGAGGATTCCGAATACAATATTGGTTTTCAGGATTATCGATTACTTTTATCGATTTTATCAATTTTTTGCAAAGTTTGAGCTACGGGGCTGGGAGTTCGCACAGGGGGTAATCGAGCATGCTGATCACCCCCAGGGGGGTGATCAGCATGCTCGATTACACTCCTGTGCCAAATTCCAGCCCCCTAGCTCAAATTTTCAAAAAATCGATAAAATCGAAAAAGTAATGGACGATCCTGAAAACTAATATTGTGTTCGTAATCTGCATGCTCGATTACCCCCCTGTGCAAACTCCCAGCCCCGCAGGTCAAACTTTACAAAAAAATCGATAAAATCGATAAAAGTAATGGACGGTCCTGAAAACTAATATTGTGTTCGTAAACAGCATGCTCGATTACCCCCCTGTGCAAACTCCCAGCCCCGCAGGTCAAACTTTACAAAAAAAATCGATAAAATCGATAAAAGTAATGGACGATCCTGAAAACTAATGTTGTATTCGGAATCCCCATGCTCGATTACCCCCCTGTGCCAACTCCTAGCCCTGTAGGTGAACTCTGCAAAAAATCGATAAAAATCGGTAAAATCGACATCGATCGATAACGAAAAGTGGACTGTGACACCCGCCGGGGCCCGAAGTGTATGTGTGCCAAGTTTGGTCCGGATACGGCGGAGCCGGGTAAGCCAGCTAGTAACAAATAAAACTTTCGAAAAGGCTATTTTGGCTACGCGCACAATGATATTCGCAATCAAAAGGGAAACGACAAAACATCCAAAGGTGTTCTAAAACCTTGAATTTTTAGATAATTCATAACGGTTAACCCCCAGGAAAGAGGAAAAACTGTTTTGGGTCTCTGAAACATGTGACAGGTGAAGAGGTGGTGTAAAGCATGAAGCTCCGCTATGACCCGGTCTAGTTAAGGTTATCTCGCTATCAAAAAAGCCCAAGCTTTTTACGATCTGCCGGCAACAATCTGGTGCTGCACCAGTCGAAAATATTGAGTACTGATTGGTCGCCGTCGGACCCCTTCAAAAGTGAAAAGGTTCGCACGTATCCAATGGCCGTCTCAACTTTGCATACGTACACATCGGAACGGATGTCGTAGGATTTCTCGTTGTTGATCGAATTGAATATATCGATTTTTCGCGAACTTTGAACCACGAAGCACAAAGAGTGAGCATGCTGATTACGAATACAATGTTTTTTTTTTCAAATTATCGAATACTTTCACATCAATTCTCTGCAAATTTTGAGCTATGGGGCTGGGAATTGGCACAAAGGTGTAAGTGAGCATGATGAGGGCGAAATAATATCGATTTAGAGGAAAACTCATTACATTTACCGATTTTATCAATTTTTGCAACGTTTGGTTTGAGGAGCTGGGAGATGCTACAGAGGCTAGGTGATGCCGATTACGAAATCATAGCGGGGGGGGACAAGAAAGGGACTGTACTCTTTGATTCGACTGGATTGGCGGCTGTAAAGCGGGCTTCATGACCTAATTAAGGCTAGAGAATGATCAGAAAGCACGCTCAGAGAGAGACCACACTGCGTCGCGGTCCCGAGCGATCGCTTTCCAGCCGCCAATCTCGTTGATTCAAAGCATAGATGCGGGATAGGGACAGGGAAATGCTGTACAGAGATAGGGGATGGTCATCTTTATCATAGTGTATTGATAGAGCCAGGCACAGTTTGGTAAGCCAGTTAGTTTTACGATATAATATTGTGTAAAAATCCTTGTAATGAGGCTTCTGTTGGCAAAATAAGCAAATGAGCATTTTGCAATAAACGTTGAGATTCTAAAGATCTTTTCACAATCTCTTGTCGTGTAAACTGACTGGCATATTAGGCCGTGCCAGATCATGCTCATTTAGGCCCGCTATGCTTTTTGTCGTACCGTTTGCTGAACTTTTTTAGCCAAATCAACATTGATTCACGGAAATAAGGGCAGAACTCTGACTGGACAAATCCGTTTGCGTCAATTGTGGCTATTTAGGCAATTCTATGCTTGTTTGAGCTAATTATTTGCTGAGAGACCATCTGCCCATTCCGTTACGCAATTTATCTTTGTTACCGTAAAATTGTTATACGGGGTGTCCCAAAAGTGTGTACTTACTTTTCGATTGTTGATAAACTTTCAGCATACAACGCTATCATTGATTAGGTCGTTTGAAAAAAATATCAAAAAATTCTGGGATGTTAATGATTTTAGAAGTTTTTATCTGAACAATAATAATTTTAGTAGAAATCTAAACGCTTTTTTCAATACTTTTAAACATTTTGAAGAGCTTTTACCACATTTTTGAAAAACACTATTATTATTTATGTGTTGATGTGTGTGTGAATGTAAAAGTTTTGAAGGTGTGATTTTGCACAAACTCTTGACAAGCCATAAAATTTTTGCATTCCATTTTTTGTGCACAACTTCTTTTTGAGTCTAAGGGTTTCAGTCTGCGAGATTTATTGACTAAATGATAGTATGCTACTACATGCTTGACACAAGAATCTCCGATCAAGTGGTAAAGGCGGAAAAAAGTCAAAAAAGAATCAACTCACTTCTTATTCCGTATGTAGCACTTTTTTCACCACTCACAGATGTTTAATAAAGAAATTGTTCCAAACACGAGAAAACAAAATCAAGAACAATGTGAAAATGTTGTAACCAGATGCATGATTTTGGTTCTTACGTTCGAACGAGAAACATAGCGCAAATTTTCATCTTGACCTCTATAATCTGAAGAGTTTCTCTCAGGAACTGAAATCATGAACATGAAAAGCAAACACGCTGTTAGCGTAGAATGGAGTACGCCGATTGCCACTGCACCAAATCATTACTTATAATTCCAAATTTTTGTACGGATGGGCGAGATTGGAGAGCAATATTCCCAAATACTATACAATGAAGTTATCCTCCTTTTACACAGTTGTAACAAGGCGTGGAGTAGGTAAACTCGTTAACCTTGCGAGCATGTTTGTTTGAAAGGAAGCACATATTAAATGATGAGGTTTAATATAATAGAAGACCATGTCAGGACTGCATTCTGCAGTGCACGCCGCGTGTCGCAGTCGAAATTCGTTCAGGTATTTTCTGGAAGCGTTAACCTGCGAGATCAACAACTATCTATATCTACTATATGACTGGCGATGAGATGAGCATTGAAAAAAGGGATAAAATTGTTTATGATTTTTTGACCAGTTCCAAAGTGGTGGTGTAAAGGGAGAACGTGCGTTCGACTCGAACAATTGGGACGACCAAAGCTAAACAATGCAAACTGCTATGATTACCTTAAATTCTTTGATGTCGTGCATAATATTCTCACGCATGTTGCTGATATCACGCGCAAGAATGGCGACCCAGATAAGCGAAGTCAATATTATAACAGCAGACGTCCCAAATATCGTAGTAATGAGCAAATGATTCATGGTAGAGCAGCAATTGAATGCTAGCTGGAGCTTCATGCAATTCAGACTTTAATGACAATGAGAGGTATATAGAATCAGTTGGCCATTGATTTAAAAGATGACGATGTATTCCTGTTCATTTCTTTCGGCTAGAAATTGCCTAACGTTAGCAACACGGATACTTTTGCTCAATAACAAATGGCCAAAAGGGGCAAAACCTAGTTGAATCGTAGAAATTGCCCGAAATTTTCCAGTTGATCCATTCTAAACTGTAGTGCTGATCCTGATGTGATACGTACCTACAGTTGCAGAAATCAGCTGGTTACGGCTTTTGCCGTACTAACAGGTCTCTCCATACCACCAAAAAGTCTGCCCACTTCGTTGGTTGTGTTCCTCGAGGATCACAATTAACAACAAATCCTATCTGGTAATCTCAATGTTTATCTGTCCTCTGTTTTTTCCATGATGTGACCAATGCATGTCTTACTTTCATAAGTATCCCGTTAGAAGAAAAACGGGAAATTCTTCTTAACACGTCAACGAGGGTGCCGCGCAATGGTGGGCGGCGGCAATCTGTGGACGAAGCCGCACAAGTGCATGGCAATCTAAATAAGTTCTAATTGCTAATTTATATATATACTAGCTGGCTTACCCGGCTCCGCCGTATGTTCCGAATAGAAAATTCCATTTCTTAACCGATCCGGACCAAACTTGGCACACATACACTTCGGGCCCCGGCGGGTGTCATAGGCTACTTTTCGTATCGATCAATATCGATTTTATCGATTTTTCAGAGTTCGAGCTACGGGGCTGGGAGTTGGCACAGGGGGGTAATCGAGCATGCTGATCACCCCCGTGGGGGTGATCAGCATGCTCGATTACACCCCTCTGCCAAATTCCAGCCCCCTAGCTCAAATTTTGCAAAAAAATCGATAAAATCGATAAAAGTAATGCACGATTTTAAAAACTAATATTGTATTCGGAATCAGCATGCTCGATTACACCCCTCTGCCAATTCCCAGCCCCGTAGCTCAAATTTTGCAAAAAATCGATAAAATCGATATTGATCGATACGAAAAGTAGCCTATGACACCCGCCGGGGCCCGAAGTGTATGTGTGCAAAGTTTGGTCCGGATCGGTTAAGAAATGGAATTTTCTATTCGGAACATACGTACACACAGACAGACAGACATACATACATACATACAGACAAACAGACATTCAGCTTTATATAGAAGATAAATGTGTATTTTATATTTCATTATTTCAATATATTTCAATACATATTTTTATACACATAATCAGATTAGGCTCAGAAATATTGCTGCACCCTCCCTCTTTCAGCAAACTTCGACCACTCCGCTGACATCTGCGAAAAGCTCTCTGCTCAAAGCGCATACAAGAGGTCATAGGTGACAGGAGAACCTCAAGTGACTTTCTTGGCCCGTCCCCATCAGACAGGCTCCACCTCCTCATTGGCAGGCTCCGCTCGCTTTTCGAAAATGAAAATTTAAATCTGGAATTTGGACTGATCCTCAAAAGTCAAGCAATTTCCAGCATTTTGCTGACGAGCGGAGCTTGTCTCAGGAAGGAAGGGAGGGGTGAAGAAGCTGTTCCGTCCACTTGTACATTTGTAATTCAAGCATAGGTGCATGTATGTATACCTGCAACCAGGCGTAGGAGTGCATGGAAACATCTCTCAACAGGTATATACATTAAGAATATGGCTCGTTGTCAACGTGTTAAATCTGAACCGCAAGTCCGGCGAGATGTTGTTTGTGTCGGCTGATCTTAAGGGCGCGCAAGCGGGTCGGGTGTTCCCTTGAGCTCTTGACGTGGCTGTAATGTCGGCCCACTCAGACAATCGACCGGACCCCTCCGCCGGACAGTCCGAATCTGCCAGAGTCGCGCCGGACCCAGTTGACCAATGAGAGCGGGGCAAATGGGCGGTCTGTCGCGGTGACATCACTGGCAGGCAAATGGGACGCTTCTCCGGCCCTGCTGCAAAGGTACGCCATTTCTCCGGCGCGACTCTGCCAGATTTGGCGGACTCGCGCCGGAGAAAATCGGAGGGGTCCGGAGCAGAAATGGGAGGCCTCCGGAGCAGAAAATGGGAGGTATCCGGAGCAGAAAATGGGAGGTATCCGGAGCAGAAAATGGGAGGTATCCGGAGCAGAAAATGGGAGGTATCCGGAGCAGAAATGGGAGGGCCCCGGAGCAGGCTGCGTATCGATTTGGCGCGTAGCCACGCTGTGAGATTTTGAGACGTTCTTAAAGGCTAACTATTCGAACTATTCGGCAAACTATTCGTCATATTTTCCTGCATTTCTCGCAATGAAGGTTGCGTTTAGACTTTTTCTTCTCAAAATCTTGATGTGTACTTTTACCTAATATCTGTTTTCGTGCTAGATTTTTATTTTATTCAAAAGTGTCTGTGCTTTTCTACCGCGGATAGCGATTTCACTTACATGTCATTATCGAGCATTTGTTTCGGTTTTAGGGATGACTCCCCCGGGTCAGTGAAGTAGTCAGCCTTTGCCATCAAAGGAGTTGGGCCTGTTCAAAAAATGATAGTGAGTATTTTATGAGTTATTTCTAAGTAATAGCCTCACTAAATTTCTTTCCCATCCGAGTCTTTTGCTTCTGATTGCAGAAATCATACGAACAAAAGAAATATCGCTTTGGACTAAAGTATGCGAGGACAATTTTGAGTAATCCGAATTTCGCTTAACATGGAGGTGGATCCTTTTTTGACTTTGATTTTATGCTCGCATGATACGCATTACAGAAACCTTAGCAATAAAGGGGCTCATTCTTAACATGGGTAAGCAACAAGAAGCACAGGAATGTGTGAAAAGAGGTTTGAAGGTTGGGAGTCCTTTTTAGTTCCTTGTATAGTGTTTCACTCATCATTCTTGTATTTAGGCTGATTTGAAATCATGTTTGCTAGCATGTATATGGGATTTTCAAAGGTCAGACAAAAACTACGACGAGGCAATCAAGCTATTCCCTTTATTCTGTTTTATTGATTTTATGGATATCTGTCCGGTTTAGGCGTACAAGCGAGCTTTAATTCTTGACAAAGACAACATGCAGATTTTGAGAGATCTCTCATTACTCCAACAAATGAGGGGCTGTGAAGGGCGCAAAGTTGGTTCTTCTTGCTCAGTCCAGGAGACTTTCATTGTAATCACTTAGGAATCTCGTCATCATTTGCTGCGACTTCGGCCAACGCAGAAAGTGTCTTGGTTGCTTACGTCACAGCATATCATGTCTTGAAAGATTACGAGAAGGCACTCAATATACTAGTGGAATTCATTCAAAACAATGAGGTAGGATAGTGCCACTTTTGCTGTTGTTCATGATTCTCTGCTCAAATCTCAAAAGTTCTTGCCTTGTTTTTGTCTTTTTAATTGTGACAATGTTGAATTTTTTCAATCATTTTTATTTGCTTCCAAGATAGTAGTGCGAAGAGGTAAGCGCTAAAGTCATGCTGATTTCTATTAACAAATACTGCCATGTATCTTCAACTGACTTCTAAAAGTCTTCTCAATCTGTGTATAGGGGCCTGCAGGATCGCGAGAGTCGGACGTGCGTACGGCCATTGCGCCGCGCACGTCGTATGTCACTGGGTCGTACTCGATTTAGGCTGGATAGGTGAGATTTTTTGTTTTTCTTCTCATTTCTCGCCTTCTTTTCTTTTCAGGCGGCGAACATATGTTGGTGCAGAGGAGTTTAAGATCTAGATTAAGGTGAGGTACAGGATTATGCTCAATACGGGCCAATATTGTGGACTTTTCACCCCTGCTTTGAATAATGTTGAGTTTTCTGTTCTGGCTGTCCGATTATGTTCGATTTTTCGTCCTGCCTGCCCGGTTACGAAACTCCGTTTTATTTGCAACGTCTGTTCTACCTCATCTTGCATCATGCGCGTCATCACAATCATAATCATTGTCATCATCATCATCATCATCACAAGCAATATGCAAGATAAGGTAGAATAGACGGTAGAAATAGAACAGTTTGCTGTAACAGGGCAGCCAGGACAGAAAATCCAACATCTCAATCAGCAGGCATGGAAGGTCTGCAATATTGAGTCCGTATTGAGCATAATCCTGCACCTCACCTTAATTCAGATCTTAAACTCCTCCGCACCAACATGTGCTCGCCGTCTGAAAAGAAAAGAAGGCGTGAAATGTAAAGAAAAACAAAAAAAAACTTACCTATCTAGCCTTAATCGACTACGACCCAGCGATATCAGGCGTGCGCGGCGCAAAGGCCGTACGCGCGTCCGACTCTCGCGATCCTGCAGGCCCCTATATGAGAACATCAATACCTGTGCTTGAGTCGGTATACGGCTGATAACAACCTGAGATATACCAAGAAGGTAGAGCATCTTCAGTCAGCTGTTAAATTAATCTGCTGTGTTGTTCTATTTGTGGGATAGTATTTTTTACCACATTGTACGCGATTTCACTCTAGCCTCTCTGTTCCTCATTGTAGCCTTCTTCCTACGACTTCGAGTACTCGGAACTTGTCCTCTATCAGAACTGATTTTCTGTGGAGCGGGCCAGCTCGAAGAGGCAATGTCAAAACTTGAGGAGAACGCCACTGTCATAGTAGATAAAGTATCTTACATGGAAAGAAATGGTTTGTGGTAGTGCATTTATTTGCAAATTCAAAATAAATGTCTTATCTCTTCGTTCTTTCTTCTATCTTCTATCCACAAACGCTAGGGATGAGAGGGAGGGGGTAAAGAACGGGGTTGAGGGTCGCGCTGAACTCTTACCCGGGGGGGGGGGGTCGTATTCGGCTGATTTGGGTGGGGTTTAGACAAAATTGGAGTTTGGAGCTTAATTAGGGCTAATTACAGTATGCCGCGGCAGACTTGCGGAGCACAAAATCGGGGGGCTCCGGCGCACAAAATCGGGGGGCTCCGGAGCAGAAAATGGGAGGTATCCGGAGCAGGAAATGGGAGGTATCCGGAGCAGAAAATGGGAGGTATCCGGAGCAGAAATGGG